ATTACGTAATCTTATAATTTCTATGAATGTTATCTCAGTGTCTGTATTGACTTATTTTCCTATTATGTAACATTGATTCAAGCCTTTTATTATTCTTATCACAACTAGTACACCTGTCATTACACTATCAATTTGTACTTTTCACTTATTATTAACTTTGATTATGTAATCTATTCCACTGTTATCATTGACTCATAAACTGCTTTGATTGGTTTAATAATTTCGTATATGCATATAAATATTACTGTATATTAGAGTATAGCCTGATGATGATATAATCGAAAACACTATTGTTCGCTTATATATGATGTTACTATAAACCTTAAAGTGATAGTACATCATAAACATGTGTGTTACGCAATAACCATAATTTAAGATGTTATGTTTCTTGTCTATGAACTTTTTGTCCATCACTTCTTCAGTGTTGACTGAGACAATAAAGGCACAAATTTGTTGTTTAGATCAATTTAATTTTGTAAACGTGTCTATCGCATGTGAGGTCGACCTGGAATTCAGCCTGAAGTAAAAATACATCTCATTCAAAACTTTAGATTATATCATTCTTCACCAAATTTGATATGCTGAACAATTAAAACTGTTCTAAAGCATCCAACGTTTAAATCAAGTCAAATACTTGAGCTGTTCATTAGACTGCTAATTAAAAATGTTTGAAAAACGTTGCGCATGTGATGCTTGAAGAAATAATTAGTTAGAAACGATCTAACAGTGATGCAGTTATCAGTAGTAATGATAGGTCACTTGGTTTATGTTCCGTCAAGATTTAAATTTTTCCGCAAATACTAAGTTATGATACGTTGTCTTTTTAATTTTTGCAGCCTAATGCCATCTCTCAAGTCCCAGTAGTTGATTCTTTCAAATGACGTATCAAAACGCTAAATCTAACTGTAATATATAACGATTTTCCTTACAACATGAATATCACCGGGTTGTGGTCAGCATTATTATCGTAACAAATGACTAGGAATCGTTCGTGCATACACTCATTGTCTTTGTATGAAAAATTAACTCCGAAATTTTCTTATACCTTTTTTTCCCCTTTCCATGTGCCTTATCTTTACTACTCGAGAATTTGTCTTGAAGTAATTCTATCTTGCTGTATTGATGTAGTATGGCAACTTGAACTGAAACACATATTTGTAGGGTTCTACGACAGACCGTCTGGGTAATTATTTCAAAGAATTCTAATCATAACTTTATCACTCACAATCAGGCTGAAAATGCCAAAACATCATAATCTGATTGAAAAATTGCCACTGTGTAAATCGAATTTATAAAAGCTAGTGTATTACAAAATTAAAAAGATATGTTGTGAATCAGCAAGTATTATGCGGGTGCTAACCTTTATACGACCACTATATTCTACTTGCTATCAAATAGGACATTATATGTATATATATATATATATATATTTATATATAGTGAATGTTGATTTATACTTCTATGATTGGAAAATGTAATAAAAACATTCTAATTATGAGAAACAAGTAAGATAAGATGATAAACTACTACTGAGTGAAACAAATGTTTTACTGTCTTGATGCATTCATCGTATCATGGCATAAATTTTAGGTAGATAAGTGTTGTATTTCATATTTCAGTACATGTTAATTCATTGTCTAAGGCCGAACTATTTCAGAGAAATAAATAATATATTTGTAACAATCTACCCAATGCTCAATTTATTCAAAAATATTTCAGAGAAAATTTATAATAAATGTCAAGTTGTAATATATTCTTTCTAACTGAATACATTTAATAAAGAACTGTTCTCATTATATATACATATATATATCACTTAAAAGGGATTTAAAATCTCAAATTATCCAACTCATTAGACACATCGTATGTAAATAAGACTAAAAATTTGATTGCTGCTAATAGCTAGATAACTCAACGTTGGTAACCAATTAAAATATACATTTCTGTTTATATATTCACTAGGATTTTAGAATTGTTTAATAAACATATGACAGGATAAAAGAAAGTAACAGATTTAGTTTGTTTTGTGTGCCTCAATAAGTTTCAACAACGTTTAGTGGTAGTAAACTCATATGTCAACTTTTTAAATGTAAAATTTTATCAGTCATAATTATCTGGCATTTAAATGAAGCATAGTCGCTAATGAAACATGTTTACTGACCCTCAGGATCTGAATGGTCATCACATATTTTTTAAAGTTTAAAACTAACATTGAGCGGCTGCTCATGGATTTGTAGTTGGTAAATAATACCACTTTATGGATACTAATGGTCAGCAAATTTTGATTACTCCTCATAAGTACCCGGTGATCTTCAAAGTTAATGGAAAACTATCAAAATGAATTTGATTTAGATTGACTAACGGAAATATGTTTATAGAGTTAAGTCTGTGGTTAATCTTTGGTGGAATTCATAACAAAAATCTGTCTTAAATACTGAGTCCAAAAATACTGATACCTTCAAGAATTCTTCATTCAATTATGTTACGTTTCCGAGACATTTTAGAATAAGGTACATTAAAGTAAAGCGAGAATAAGATTTGTGGAATAACATGAATTCATTATATTTCAAGGTTTCTAATAGGCTGCAAACGGGCTAAATTTGCATTAGTGATGTTATTATCAAAATGTCTTTTTACATATTATTTATTTAGTGTTGACTGCAGTAAAGCGATTGGAGAATTTGGCTGCTCAACTAAATATTGTATCAGTCTAATGATCAGACTGGATTAATAAATATTGCAAACTAACTAGCTTTTAAATATAAGTCGACTATATTGCATGTAGATGGGAAAAAACAAAGAACAAACACAAGTTTTATCGAGTTCTATATCATTTCGTAATCAATAGGAGAAATATCTGGCAAGTTTCATTTACAGCCATTCGGGTGATCAGCGAGTTCGTGATGTGAATAGCTCACACATAATATGACGAATTAATATGCCGTGATGTTCCAAGAAACAATACATTACGTAATTCTTCTTCGAGATGTTGTAACTACATGGTAACATTGCGACTTGCACAAAACTCAATTTCCATAGCATTGTTATTTCAAAGTTGAAATCATGGTATTTCTTCATGATGAACAACACCTTATCGTCCCAGCTTGTAAAGGATAATACAAATGACCTTGTAATCAATATTACTGAGACACGGTAAGTGTTATGGTTTTCAAGGTATGGAATTCTGCGAGCATTCCTTCAGCCAGTTTTCAGGTATAACAAGTGTATGTTAATCGATGAATATTAGATTGGAGTAATAATTTATCGACTATGCAATTACTCCTTAATAGCATCCAAAATTTAAGCAAGATTACCGATCTCTATTGGCATTTGTTTTTCATTCCTCTGTACTAGCATTCAGCTACAATAATAAATTGGACTTTCGGTGATGAACCGAAAAGGGAAACTGAACTGCGAAAAGCTTTGCACTCGAAAACAATCTGGCATATCATAGCTAACGAATTTTCCATTTATCTTTTATTTTACCGTAGATATGGCTCTAATATCAAACGAATTTGATGGATTTTCTGTCTTTGTTCATTAAGAATGCTAGGAGGATGTAGTTTTTAAAACCGCTTGTGGAGGATTTCAAGGAATTTAAAAACGGGATTTTCGAACTCAAGTAGAACATCGCGTTTGATGTTTGCCTCAGTTCGATGCTTAGTCTGATCATATGGATTTATGTGGTTGGGTAAGATAGCGATTCTACCCATCTTGAAAGCTTTAGTAGCTCTAATAAGCCAAAAGTTGACTAAATATTGACACAAACACAGAAGTCTTGCTCGATTTCTGTTAACCTAGGCATTTTGTAATGCATATGATAAATCTGTTTATCCAGGAATAAGAGAGCATGATAATTTTAAGGTATAAAAAACGGATAAGTTGTTCGTAGTTATTCTCTATGCAATGGTCGTCCATAAAGCCACAGACTTCAATGTGACATAAATCCTAACACAACTCATTTTCCTAAAATGCTTAAGCTATATTACTCAAATTTCTTTCATTTTACGATTTTATATGGTTTTTAAGACCAGATTCTTTTATTAATTCTGTACAAAAAGATATTTATATGAATCGACAAAGTATTTCACTATACGTTTATGGTAGATATATGACCTCTAAAGAACTACATAACTCAACAAATTACAGAGACTAATGAAGTTTGACGGTCATACAAGAATAATGTTTTGAGTCATTACATATTTCGTGACACAACAGTAAGTTTTGAAACCTGCTCACAATGTCACGCCAACAAAGGTTACTGAATTACAAACCCATACTGACTAAACATTTACAAAACTGTTTTGCTGTCGAAGCAAAACCATTTATAAAACCGAAAAGATTGTTCAGGGTTATAGCAGTGTGAGATAGCAAATCATCTAGTTGTCATTCATTATGATAAGAAAAGGTCAAAAAATATGATTAGGAAATAAGTGCAGATGAAAAATATGAGCGTGATGATACTAGTTTAACTTGTGTTTCAATACCTGCTAACCACCAGTGAATAAAACACTTGGAGGGGAGTGAAAATTGCTAGCTTGGCTGCCTTCACTAAAAGTGCAAGATTTTAAAAAACATACATATTAATGCATCTTAGTATTCACCAATTTAAAATTGAGCAATAATAAGTTAGGGAAAAATTCTTCGACACTCGAGTTGATGCCGGCTCGTATTAAGACAGAGGTAGTTAGGGAAAAACTTCTTTTGCAATATAATGCATTCACAAGGATTTCTATATCTCTCTACTGATTATTTTCGTTTAATTAACTGAAAGCTATTCAGAGAATTCACCATTCATATACGTATTCAGAAGTGCTTTCTAACAGGATGCTCATTATAGCCAAGACGTTTCCATGCCACCTACACAGTCAGTAAAAAAATTTTGATCTCTTTATCAATGCGAAAGTGCATCAGAAAACGTTTGCACAAATTAGTACAACTTACAAGATTTACAAAAACTTTCAGGGACAAAGAGAATTATCTTCATAAGGAAAACTTACTGAACCTTTGGACTGCACAGATGCTTTAACCTGAAACATTTCTTCATGAAACTAAATATACTTACCTTCACAAAATTATCGGGAAAAACTCCGATGCGGCCATTTAAACATCCAATATACCATCCCTCCTCAAACTGAGAAACATCCCTGATAATATCCCCTTTTTTAATTGTTAATTCGTCATTTTCCTCAGCAGTATAGTCGTACTCAACAATAACTTCCATCTCTGTGAGATATCCGAAAATTTTATTTAGTAGGATATCATCGCATAACTTTCCGGTTTGTGATTGAACTGAATGTTGAAATATACAAAGATGAAACAAGATGATTATAAAACAACCCAGCGAAATGAAAAAACTGATTAAAAATAGCTTGTCAACGAGGCTCAGCACAAACTCACGCTATCTAAAGTGATAATAAAACTTCAAAGTACGCGCTATTTATCAGATTGGCTAAAACAAGCACGCACCAAGTGCAATACAGTCGGTACACCAAATATAAACGAACAATATTTATTTCAATTAGATTGTGATGATGCTTTTATAGCACACGAATATTTACATAAAAGTATTACAATAATTAGGATGACTTAAAAACGGATGACCTCTATCAGATGCACTGCTTAACTACACATAAATTTGTGTTTTCATCTACTGTGAGTATCAACTTCGTCCATTAATTTGTCATCACTAACTCGTAAGCTCTTCTGATTAGTTCAATATTTTCATGCAAATATTCATGTGTTTGAAAGCCTAATTACGATCCAACTTATAACAATATTGTCCGCCTACATGTGTTGTTCTACTATTCATAGAATGAATCTCTTTGAAAGATATAGTACAACAAGTTTTACCTCGAACGATATTATCTCTTTCGAGAACACTTACTGGTGAATATTATCTACATAAGCGTATTCATTTTACATTATAATCCAGGTACAAACTCTGGACTGTAACAGTTTTATACTAGAAACTTTGTTTGACACTTTAGAAAAGATGTCCTTTCATATGTTATGGTCACGCCCTCAGAGATCATTTAGCAATGAGTTGGTGTATATTTTGAGTTTTACGTGGCTATTTCTGTAACATTCTTTTGTAAGTGTGTGAAAGAAACCACCCGCGGTAGATGTGTGGCAATCAAACTTTCTGTTCACTGGGAACCAAAACAAGTGGTAGCCAAAGGCTGCTCTTTCATTCCCAGGGAATTTTCCACCAATTCTTTCATAAGTTTAAATGATCGCCCCTTTGGGGCAGAAATGCATTCCTTACTAGGCAGGAACTGAGTTTTGTAATTTCTGTGACTAATATCTCTAAGTTTCACTGCATTCCGTTATAAGCCATACAACTCACGTCACCGATATGTTCGGGTCTCTCTTATCCTTTGTAGTTTCTAGAATCATTTGATGCCAACAAACTGCACTACTGAATCACTGTATATTGGTTATTTAGTTGGCGCGTGAGTCAAAAGCTGGTCATACCTGGACATAGTCGAAAAGTCATGCTGCTGGTTCTCACTAACATGTTACATGATGTCGTTGTTTATTAGTTATTCACAGCATTTTTCCGTCACACGACAATTTTCGTAATCTTTGTGCTTGTTGCATAATGATTCTTCCTGAAATTCTACGGCTGAATCGCCTGCTATAGGTGTCATACAGCTAACATGGTGTCGCTGAATAGACCAGAACATGGTTATGGTGAGAAACTGTTTTCATACAGATTTCTAATGAGACTCGTTTACCTCTATCCAGGTAACATGGCAGACATTTCAGTATGAAAGGATAGCTAAAAATAAAGTCCTAACTATAATATTTAGAGTTCTTGATGGCAAAAGAATCTCCAAATATCCACAAAGTCTAATATTTCAGGCCTCTAAAACATTGCTTACTGGCGTCTAGTATTTGTCCAATTATTTACAGGTAGACTTATCTAATCGTAACCTCACAGCAACTTGAGAGTAGTTCTCTCTGCAGTGTATAACACAAATGTCGAAATTTCATGTTTTTACACTCATTCTGGAAATGAGAGCTTCAGATCATGTGAATATTAAGAACATTAACTTAGTTGTGTTGATCAACTTGTGCCCAATTGCACATTTAGTCTGATTTCTTATAACTGATTCCTTCTAATATGCCTTTACTTGGTTGCTAGTATATCTACCTATTTTCTGACCATTTTTCATTGCTATTTAGATCTACGGTTGTCTAAGATATGTCATCGAAACAGTACTCTAGACAGTTTGAATACATTTCAGTACGACGCAGAGCCGAAAAGCTCAGCGCAACATTGAATTTTTTTCATTTCAATATACGTGCGCAATATTCTAATCCTAGCACTACTACAGTTTAATGGAATCGTTAGTGATTCTAGTACTTCTGTCGTTAGAACCCAACTCAATCTCAAAGGTGGTATGGTTCTGGTATTACCTTAATGTTATTGACATATCAGTTCAGTGCTCACATACTACTCTAGTATACTTTGATTGTTTATTACTACTGCATATAGTGGTTTGCTCAATCACTTGAATATACATTTAGAAATGCTTCTATTCGAGTTCCGATTCCATCTATGCATTCTTGATCATCAAGGCAAATACAACTATTCGTACAGTTGGCATTACATCTCCAAGATTAAAATGAGCGCACATAGCTAACAGTTTCTGGTTGAAGTAATGGTCACAATCCTTTATTTTTTATTATAATTTGAACGAACTGGAAACTTGGCCTTCATGGATCTCAAAAGCGATTCATCTGAAAAACAACTGATGGTTGCCAGTCAAAGATCGAGACCGACTGAGAAAATAGTTGATTACATGATATGGAGTAACACGATGAGTCATTGTGACTAAGCCACCAAATACGAAGTGACCAGTTTTTACCTGAAACATGCATGATCAAGTGCTGAAAAATGTATTGATCGTGTTGAAGTCATATTTATCATGGTTACCTGTGAGATATCGTAGGAGCATGAGAGTTTTTATATTTTTTAGGACCGGGCATAGTATATTGACATGAGTGTCCCTTGTACGCTTCATTACCAGAAGAATAGTAAAAAGAAGTGTTATACAAGCTTTGTAAGACGGTTAGGGACCTCCTCAAATAATGTCCATATTGCGACCAAACTACCCAGTAAGAGAACATCCTGGCTGAAACAATGTTAATAGCAAAATAGAAGACATTATGTGTATGTAAACCTTCCCTAAAGTACTTTGGCCATAGTCTCAGGGACGAAAAATGGGGACAAAAACTATAGCGAGAAGTACACTGATAGCCTCCTCACAGCATTTCACTGAACAGAGACTTCACTCATTTGTCTTGTGTTTTAAACTTTATTCAGGTTTCGTGTTAAACACACAATGTTCTTCAGTATTGGTTGTCAAGCTTTTTTTACTTCATCCTGTCGCATGTGACCAAGTCATTGTCGATAAGGTCGTGTTTGACTTAACTGAAAGTCATGGCGTGGTTCAGTGTATGACAATTATCCTCAACTGTGTGCTTGTAGATTGACTTTGATGTTAGTTGATAGTTGCTTTGAGTTCCACATGTTCCTCAACCGTAGAATTGCTGCACTTGCTTTGCTAATTCTTGTCTTTAAGTCCGCATCAAATCCGCCTTTTTCATCTATTATGCTTCCCAGGTACGTGAAGTTTTCCACCTCATTAAGTGTGATTTAGTTAGTGTTCTGTGTGTTGCAATTGAGGATCATGCTGTTTCTCTTATGGCTATTGAGGCCCACTGACGCTGAGGCTAATGGACTAGTTGTCTTCGTCTGCATTTATTCGTGTGTATGGAATAAAAGGTCCAGGTTTCTTATATCCCGACGAGAATTAATAATGGTAACTCTTGAAAACCACTTATGGACCAATACGATACGTACATTTTTGTTGTGTCATTATTATGTAACTAAACTATGCATAATCATATTTTTCCTATTACAAGCTTTATTTTGACCCATGGATTAACATTATAATACTATTTAGGGTTCTTGAGTTATATCCAGTCTATTAATTACAGTCTCTCATATACACAGCCACTTTTGAGTAGATCTTGTACAAATGTTATTTTCTGTTTTATGGTGTTATGTCGTCTATTTGGTTTGTATGTAAGCTCAATATGTTCGAAATACATGATTTATATCGCAGAGGCTGGGATCGGTGTCCTTGACTCAATGGGCAGGGCTAGGCAAGAAGAAGGACTGGTAAGGACTGTATACTGCTCGTACGACTTTTATGAGTCATTGGTCCGTTCGATAAGCCACTTTTCTCTAATTGGCGGTGTCATTACGTCATATATCAGTAGAGGCACAAGTGATAACAAGGTTGTCTGAGTAGTCCAAATCGTTTAGTCCCAACATGCATTGAAGTACAGTTTTAATGCACAACCTTACGAAAACTATGCATAATCGTAAGGTAATAACTTATAAAATATTCATGCGCATTGATAAATATTTCACGATTAAGATTAATCTAACCATACACTTTGATTCAAAATCTCACCTTATTCATTGAAAAATCAGTTTCAGTAAACTTTACTCGTCATAAAATAAGTGAATTGTAAAAGTAATTCGTCAAACTATTCTTCTGCTGAAGGTGCTGATTTAATGTTCAGTGCGGCTGGTTTATTCAAGAGTTCTTCAGAGTACTGTACCCAACTGTTCCTCTATTCTTGAATCTTAGTGATGGGCTTGTCTTCTTCATTCTTGACTGGTCGCACTAGTTTACAGTAATTTCCTTCCACTTTCCTCGTTGTATCGTTTATTTGTTTTATATTTCCATCTCTTGCAGCCCTTCCCGCTGTCGCTTCTACGTTTTCCACGCATTTCCGTTCGTTGACTTCAATGCTCCTTCTTACTGGCTTGTTTATTTCTGTGTATTCAGTTTGTGCCTTTATGTTCTCTGTTCTTGTTCGACTGATGTTAATTGATGTCTTCTTAATCCTTTTTTCCTGAACCCAAAACAGGGTTTCCATAGAGATCCACTCCTTATGATAATTATTCTTGCGACCCGAAACTCCCTGACACGTTGAAGTTATCGCTTCTTCGATCCCTTCCCAGTTGTCCTCCACAGTAGTTTCTTCTTTCAGTGGATAATGTAAAACTTGAAACCTGTTGTTGAGAGCCCTTTTGAATTCGTTGAGTTTGTCAGCAAGTCGAAGGAAGGCTGGATTCAATCTTTGTAATACTGTTTCTACAATTGTTCATTGCTTTTTTAGCTTCAATATCCTCCGGTCCACAACCGTGTGGTGATCTGAGCTTATGTCATCCCCTCTCCTGCTTCTCATGCATTCCATTGACCTTGTGAACTTTTTACGGATGCGAATCTGGTCGGTCTGATACTCTGTAGTGTGATCCGGTGCCATGTATCTTTTTGTGAGCGTTTGGAGGTAATATTGTGTTGGCCATAACCAATTTGTTGAATGCACATAAATTCCTTAAAACTCCCACTGTTTTCGTTTCTTTCTCTTAGTCCATATCCTTCCAAGATATCTCCATATCCAGCGTTGTTTATTCTGACTTTGGAGTTTGGATCTCCCATCATGATGATTAGGTCTTTTTCTGGGCACTTCACTACAGTTCATTGCAGTGTCAAGTAGAGTTGATCCTTATCGTCATCACTGCTGTGGGTGCATAACATTGGATAACATTCATCGTGATTCCCCCCCTCCTTTGTTCTGAAGGATGATTCGTGAGATTTTCATCCTTCAAGTGTTTTTCGTGCTTTATTCAACAGCATCAGTACAACTCGTTGTGTGTGTAAATCATTTTCTATTTTGTGACCAGAATGCACAGCATCTGAATTTCAGATGAGACACCAGCTTCGAAAATCTGAAATAACCTTGGCTTTCATCAAGAAGCGCAATAACTCTTCTAAATAGAGATCATTCAAATTCGATCACAGAGTTTAGATGGCTTAAATGATGTTTTATGGCCAGTGTGTTTTCAGAAATGTTGCATTCAACGGAATCAGGAGGCTGACCCCATGCTTGATCCTCTCCTTTACGCCGGCCTGGGACTGACAGTAACTCGAGGAGAGCTACAGACGGAGTCTTGCGCAAAATAGGGAATTCAAAAACCTATTTACAATTTTATCCGATCAAACACACGTTGGTTTTGGTCCGTATTATCCTTTTCCACTACATCACGTGTAAGACCCACATAATATTAATAGTCTGAGAGACTGCGACTTCCAGTCAACTTGTGAGTGATGATGACGTGACATTAAATGATTTAACCATTGTAGATGGCCGAATGACGATGATAAGTCAGCGTGAGGAATTAGAATTAAGAGGTATAAGTTGGATAGACCATGGTCGAATCACTGTGCAGTAGTTCTGGCGTCCTCAATCAACTGTTCTCTTCTTAGCTGATTCAACGGGAACATACACACATTCACTTTTGGGAACACAGGACCAAAGAACCAGTTACTAGATCCACGCGGAGATGCTTGTCATGTCGTTCACGTGCATGTTGGAATTCCAAGTGCCTTTCAGGTTCTATTAATGTGAAGAACATATTGATTTATCTCCATTACACTACACATAGACTATGGTTGTATCACACGCTCGCCTCTCGTTTAAACCAGGGATACGAAGTAGTTTGGTTCACTATTGCTGTTATGCTGCAGCATCTAAGCAGTACTATGGGTTTGTGTCAATTCACCTCTCTCATTGGTTCTTGTACGTTCACCCACGTTATGCTACCCGACCAATAGTAGCACGCCACGTTGGAACTCTAGGATGTTCCATCATACTCTGATTGGCTAGGGCTATTCGGCTCCTTTTTGGGCCTCTGGAGGCTCCGTTGAAGTTCTCCGGAAGCCGACTCAACAGAACCCAAGCTCAGACACTAATGAAATTAACGACCGTTGCTAATACTCAAGTATTTGTTAGCAGTAAGAAGTAGTGGTTGAGGGTTGGGGAGTGTAGTGTCAAGAACATAGTTCTCAAAGACGCCAAAATGAAGGATAACGACATTGGACGAAATTCTTTGATTTCATCCAACTTTGCAGTATCGAAGAGTGGCTTATAAGAAGGTAGGTCAGCCTTTGAAAAAGCAGTGGAACATATACTGAACAAAGCTGAAAAAGGGTGTCACTCCAGCCACGCTATGCTACCTGCATAGCGGCCAAGGCGTAGCAAGCGTCAAACTTCACTGTTACAAGAGAACTGAAGACATTTGGCCGATAAAAACTTATATCTTGAATATTATTAATTTAATTGTGTTTTGGATGCGTTCGTTTTACTCAACCTCTGAACTTGAACTCCGGATATTTGATTTGTCTTTGTCTTTGGTTTGGTATTTGAAGGCTTTTGCTCCAGAAACATAAAACTGTGAAGGTTTGTTTTGTATTATTAGAGCAACATTTAGGTTGATTATTTGCAATTTGCGAATAAGCCTTGGTGCTTGAATCGGAGTTTGATTCTATTGAAATTTTGAGTTCGTAAGTTGCAAGTCGATCGACATACCGCACTTCAATAACAGAAGAGAGCAAAATCTTGGACGTAACACCCACAACTAAGAATAGATTAAGATTCAGCACACGTTATGCAGGATATTTTGCTGACATCCCAGGGACCATGCATTAAACTTTACTCTCAATTCCGAGTTAGACACGACAAACCGTGAGCCGTAAGTGCCATCGCTAGATCAGAAAACACTCAAGAGCCAACCAACATGGCAGTTTATGGAGTACCTGAGCCAGTAGGTGATAGTTGGGATGAAACTCGATATGCAACTGTGGTGTTGGCTATCATGTAGCATAGGCATTTACACAGCTACTACAGTTATCGTGTACAGGCTGTCAGCTAAAATGCAAGCTATCTACAGACTCACGACCCAGAGAAAGCCTATAAACCAAGAGATCTGTTACCTCACGAAGCTAAATAGCAAAGATCTTGCTGCCTTAGAGATAGCAAATACGCTTAATGCCAACCAAACTGAGAGTCTACAAGCTCTGAGCACCTTTCAACTTTTTTGCCAGTCGGAAGTTAGGTTGACATGTCACAATACACACTGGTCAAAGAAACAGAAGACAAACATTCATGCACTAGAATATGAGTCTTAGTAAGACTCAAATGCTCACTATAAGAGTTGAAGCGCTTCACGGAAGCGTGCTGCTGTTCTTGACCTTTATTAACGATCTGTTTGGCATAATGAAGTAAGCGGCACCGATCTATGCAGACGATGAAGAGATAGTTGTTATATTGGACCTATCCTAGGTTATTTAAAATATTCTTCATATGGTTTTATGAATTTCTTTTAAAGGAAATGCATGTCCAACTTCGAAATGATTGGTTAAAAGGACAGAAGTCTTTAACTGAACGATTTCAAACTCTTATGAATGAACTTGATGAAATTAAGAAACTAAGAGCCAACGATGCTATCGAGTTATCTAGATTTCGTACAATTTTAATGCAGTTAGATGCAAATTCACTTATCGATTCATCGAATCACATTAATTTTGGTACTGCTGATTATGAGGACAAGTCTTTAACTGATACAGACTTTACAGAGTCGAATACAAATACTATAAACCAAAAAAGTGTTAATTTTAGAAAAAATCCTTTGAATGAAACTGAAGAAAATCCTAGAGATCAAAATGAGAACATTGGTTTATTTGATAATAAAAATCAAACAAATAAACTAAAATCAACATCTGTTAAACCTTCACTTCGACCTAGACCTGTTCCAACTTATGGGACTCAGTAATATAAGTAATTAAAATTCTTGTTATTTTTAAACTTTTCTGATAGGTTTTATTCTACTGGGTTATCACTGCAGAGGTCATTTACTTGAATATATCGGTTGACTTATATTAATAATTAAAACTGTTCAACGTATTTTAGTTGAAAGTTTAAACAATGAAAAGGGATTTTTGTACATAAATCCTTCCATTCAATTGTTTGCATTCATTCCTTTTTATTTCTAATAATTCCTTGTTTGCACGTACGTATACAGAAACATCTACTATGCGTTTAAATATTTCTACCTTGAAATTGTTTCATTAATTAAAAAACATTGATCATTTTATTTATTGCAGGTTATTTATTATAAATTCATCTGGTTTGAGTAAACACTATACCCATTTCACTTCGACTTACTGAGGCATAGTCACTTTGATTTGACCGTTAAATGTTACAATCTTGCTTTCCCAAGCTTATATCTCTTATTCTATAGTTTAAATTGATTTGGTTTTCGAGGTGAAACAATTACTTGACAAACAGATTTTGTTTCACTTTTATATTTTGATTTCATGCTATGTAAGCAATCTAGTTTGTCGTCTATTATGCCTTATGAAAAAATTATTCAGTATATTGAATATGTAAGCATATAAACCAACTCTTTTATAACCTGATAACTGAATCAAATATATTCCTTTGTTACATTAATTTGCAATCGGTAAATGAAATCTGTACGATAAATGGTGAACTTTCAAAATCCATAATATAATGTACAACTACAACTTCATTGAAATTTATTGATTTTAATAGAACCATTCAAATATATATATAGCTTTCATAAATCATTAAGAAGTCATTACCAAAATCTTTGCATGTTAAGCAATCACGATAAAAGCCGAAATTTATCAATTATGTATTAGCTAGAGTAAATTGTCGAATGAGTCAACCTTCAAAAATGACTCTGCGAATGTCCCTAAGATTGTAATTCTTGAGTCATTCCAATGGTTATCTTCGATATTTGACAGTTTCTATGATACACTCATGTTATTTGAAGAATAGTTTAAAACAACAGTCATAAACACTCTGTTTCTTTGAAAATAAACATGAAGCGTTCATAAGCAAGTCTTGGATGGGTGAAAATCTCTGTGTATTATGCAAAAGTGACCTCGTCCACAGTTTTGCAATGGTTGATGCTAATCACGGTCTAACATAGTCTAGTTTAGCACCTTATCTTCGGTGCTGGGTGGTTGGAGTTAATCGGTATAAATCCCTGGAACTAGGTTTTGTGCTATTCCAAACTCATCAGCAAGGAGAAGAATAGGTGTTACTTCCCATATTCCATCCACTGTGAGTTCGAGACCCAAACTCGAACCACAGGGGAATATGGGGTGATCTGATAATGGCATACAATACATTAAGTACACCAATCCACCTAAATAAGTGCACATTATCAGAACATCACCGTCATACTCCTCCAGGCAATCCTCGACAGATTGCATATCAAAGAGCGAACATACAAATACTCACTCACTTCTCCTCATTAAGAGTTGCTCAAATTTGGAATGCTATCCCGGACAAAGTGACTTAACAGACATGTACTCAGTCATGAATAAGCTTCTTCCTCGTGAACTGACTGTGTCTGACTCATGTCTCAAAAATTACCACGACTGTCATTACCGCATATCGGTAACTAACTTCTGTCTCACTTGTTGTCATCTCCGTCCCCACTCTTATTCTTTCGATTCCGTTAGCCTACACACTACCAATTACGTAGATGATTTACTTATTCCTGAGTTAATCGTCTTCTCACAGTACTGGGATCATCACTTGATTATCTTCACATTTTAGCCGACCAACATCTTATCTGTTGATGTGATAGCTGCTAGTATCTAGGATCTCTACTGCCCTGAGACAAACACACTCACTCAGACGACAAGATATACAAGTCCATAAGTTTCCCTTCTTCTTAAAATAATAAGTGGACACGGTAAAGATGGCAAGGTTTGCAGTAAGACTAAGACGAGGTCAGCGCGTGCAGGTCTTCAGTTCACTGTTGGTCGTGTACGTCGTCTTCTAGGTTAAGGCAATTACGCTGAGCGACTTGGTGCTGGTGCTCCAGTCTATCTAGTTGCAGTTCTCGAATACCTGACTGTAGAAGTTTTGGGGTTATGTGATGACACCGCTCATAATAACAAGAAGACTGACATCATTCCAAGACATTCATTCTATTCCAAAACAAATATCTGACTAACTGACTAGAATTAGTATGGTCGAGTGCCTAGACTACCATGAATTGGACATCATCAAATACCTGGAAGCGTACCAAAAACAGCAAGAAGTGATTGCGGAGAAACCAATCGATTTATACGAGGTCGTGACAGATATGTTGGATATTGAATATCTATGCTTATGATATTTTATTTATTTAGAGACAAATATCTAAAACTTAAGATGAACAACTTTTGTGCATAATTAAGTCAGAAAAATAATACCACGGTAACTGTGTTAATTATTATTTGAATGTCTTCAAATATTTTATATCTTAATTTTCTTGCCATCATTACTTGTTAGAACCTTATTCGGAGACTGTATTGAACTTTTTTAGTTCTGCCTGTCCAGTTGTTCACTACTTCCCTAGCTTCGATTTTCGCTTTGTCACACCAGGTGATGATCATAAGCTACATGGGTTCATCGATTTTTTAGCCTTTCCTATGGACCTCCCGAATTTTCTGTGAAAAGGATGCGACCGATCTAGTTCTAAGCAATATAGTTCAGTGAAATTGCTTCACGTCCACGTTTTCGAGAGAAGACCTATAACCATGTTTTTTGAAGTACATAGGTTTGTTAGTATTTTACCACGCTTGTTGATTTAGCCAACTCAAAACCCCCATGGTGTGTACGTATCCGGTACTGTCGATTCCAACGTTTGGTGCTTAATTCTCCATTAGAGTGATCAAGTTTTTTCCTATGGATTTCTTTAGGATGAATCGCAGCCTCCCACAAAACTGGTGTTTATTATCTTCGGCATCATCACCGTAAGTGTGCAACACTGGTTGTCATCCATAGTAATCTCTCTTCATCCTAGAGGATGCTTTATTGATCCTGCATCCATGACATTCACATCCTGAAGGTACCCTATTGTGCTCCTTCTTACAGCATCATTGTGAATCTTTGTGTGTGCGAAGCATTTTCTTCTTCACTACCAGAGGACAACATCACTTTGTCAAAGGTAATCTTTTCTTTCCAGCTTATGTTGAATAATTTACTCATTCCCTCCGTTATTTGAATTACTCTCCTGGCCTCCTACAGTATCCAGACGTACCAACTGCCCATTTTCATTCAGTTATCAGAAAGGTAACCAGCGTTGCAGCTTTTGGAGAACCTCGTTTTTCACTTCTGAGTTCAATAACTCTTCTGTATAATGATCCTTCAACTTGACATGGAAGAATTTCAAAGGTTCAAAAGATTATCTTAGTTAACGCATGTTTGATAAGGTTCATTTCAATGGGCAGTTTTATAAATAAACATATTCAATCCTGCTTATTTACCCCTGTAAAACGGAATTATAGACAGCTTCAGAGTTTCTTCTCTGTTGATAGTTCAACAGTTACACTCTCTTGAGTTCAATAACTTCTTTATTGTATTGTTACAGATGTTCAAAATGGTGCAGCACAGAACAGGTACATCAAGAAAAAATGTAGGTCCAAATAAAACTAATAGTATCCCGACAGCTCATTCTCCAGCACATAGAGACACCTGGTAAAACCTAATTACCACAATACAAAAACGTTCCTACCATTCAAGGAACAACACCGTACCGAAAAATAAACTATAGATCAACTGGAAAATAACTATTATGTGAGAAATGCTACTAACCACCTTTAAATAATGACAAACATTTTAAAAACAAACAGGCAACGTAAATCAAATACTTACAGTATGTATCAGGGTATTCTTTTCACAAAGCGGCAGTCAATGTGGACGATAGAAAAGGCGTCATATGAAAATAGAAACAACGTAATATTTTCATATAAGTGTGTACGAAAAAGTTTTAAACACAAATAAAAAGCATCATCATTTGCCCCGAGGGCTTTGAAGGTTGTAACCTTTCTTCACTCAGCCCTTTTTTTCTGCAACTAGTATTTCACTCAGAGTTAACACGGATAATTAGCGACGAACATTATATTCTCATAGTGTTTTCGTCGATTTGGCACTTCATTCTTGCATTAAACTTCATACTAAGTTCGTTGGGTTCCACGATGTACTCTTCTTTTCGTTTATTAACGTATTTATATTACCTATTAACGCATATTGAGTTCGGTTTCATCCTCGAACATTTATCATCTATTACGTTTGTAGAGGTTTTGTTTCCTAACCTTACGATCTTTGAATACTGGAATATAGTTCATGAGAATATTCACAGTTAACATGTGACAATTAGAGAAAGTCGAAAAATAGTGAACGTGGGAACAATTGTTCAGGATGACATGGCTCGGCCTTACATGTATGTTCATTCTGTGCAATTAATCCGTATCCACGTTAAACATGTTATTCTATCCCCAACCTTGTTCTTCAGACGTTCAAAACATCATATTGCTGATTGTCACGAAGAGACAAGTCAATACAGACAATTATGTGACTTCAACGTAGATCTTAATGATTAAGTAGTCAGATTATGACAGACCTACAATTTCGGGATTATGTCTATCATTATAGTGGCAAAGATGAATGTACTGATATAAAACTGATCCATAACCTTACAAGTTTTAACGGTCGCCGTTTCATTTCCACAAACCTTACTCATATTTACATTCCTTCTAATTATTTCCAGGCTATCTAAAAACCATAATACCCCCTGATGCCTGTAGCATCTCCAAAAGGTCTAAATCCGTCATCCGTGAGTAGTGTGAAGATGCATAAACATGCTGATAAATTTGCATCGTACTCTGATCCTTCAACGGATACACTAGATGTGCACCACGTACTTTGGCCTAATCTCTTATGACCTTGCATCTCGCTTACAGGTGT